CTCTCTCTCTCTCTCTCTCTCTCTCTCTCTCTCTCTCTCTCTCTCTCTCTTGTGTGTGCGCTCTTAGTCTCATTGCTTTGGCTACCTTAGGGTTGCGTATCCCGCGCCCACGCGGTAGACAATTTGTTCGCAGCCCTAAGGCTCCGGTATAGTGGGCTTCGGCGTCTGTGTCAAGGTGTCGCATTTTTGGCGGCGGGCGACCAGGACGCAAAGTGGGTTATTAGGGGACTAAATAATTTGGGGGACCAGTCCTTGCCAAAATTGCGGACTACCTATAGCTAGGTCTGGTACAACCAGGAACTTTGGAAAAAGGAAGAACCGATCTTCGGGTGGAAGCGGATCGCAAAAAGAAGTGGGGGGCGTTGGACCAGTCCTCGGGTGGAAGCGAACCCCAAAAAGAAGTGAGGACATGTGAACTGCAAAAGGGCCCTCAGGCCCAGGCGTTGAGGCCCCGTCTTCTCAAAACAGGGAGGTCAGACGCAACGAAACAGACGTTTTGCAAGAGGCAACTTTTGTGATGTTTTGTGCTCTGACGAACCCGCAGACAAATCTGAAATTTTGAGAATTTTTAGATCAGGTCATATTTTTTCCAAGAAAAATATTAAAACATTTCGAAAAAATCGTTTGACTGCGAAATAATCGTTGCGCCGATTCGACACATTTTTTATTTTTGCCACTCAGCCATGTGCGGGTCAACTAACAAAGTACTCCAAATTCAATGAGTTTTCATGCTCAGAAGAATACGTGAAAAAACTTAAAAACTGGAGTACTCGTAGATTTTATTGTGATATTTCAGGGAAAAATGCTGAATAAATTTTAACCGTTTCAACTGTGAAACAGATCGTGGCTGCAATTTGACCCATATTTTAATTTTGCCATTCAGCCATGTGTGGGCAAACTAAAAAAATACTCCACGTTCAATGAGTTGTCGCGCTCAGAGGAATGCGTGAAAAAACTTGAAAACTGGAGTACTCGTAGATTTTGTTGTGATCTTTCTAGGAAAAACGCTAAATAAATTGAAAAAAATCATTCCAATTGTGAAATAGATCACGACCACAATTTGACCCGTATTTTAATTTTGCTATTCAACCTTTTTTTTTTTTTTTTTTCTCTCTGGTAGGCTCTTTCTTTCTCTCTCTCACTCCTGTCTCTTATACACATCTAGATGTGTATAAGAGACAGCATCCGGAGAATGCAACACATGGCGCAACTTAGTAGCCTTCAGGATCTCATGCATATGTATATATCGTCACAAACAGAACTGCCCTCCTGATGAGTGGGTGAAACTCCAACGAAACAGTTTGTCACAGCCCCTCGTTTGTTGTCCTCTTCTCCTTCCCTCTCTGCCTACAGTTTACCGGGCATCTCTGTTTGACTATACACCGACTCATCAGGAGGCTGAACCCTACACACAGTGATAGAACTTCGAGAACTCTAAATGAATGAAAGACTACCGTCTTTCCCCGATCATAACGCACCCTGATTCTGAACGTATCCAAGCCATCTTTCCGGTTGGGTGCAGTCGTAATGAGGGTGCGTTATGTTCGGGGGGGAAAGACCGGTAGTTCATCCAGGTCGTTGACACACCTGCCACCATAATGATCGCGTGCACCTCATTTGTGTTTTGCACCTTTTTTTTTCCCTTTTTCTTTTTGAACCATGCTTCAATCTATTCGTCGGTGCACCTACTTCCCCATTTGTATTGTTATTATTACCCACAGCACACGTGTAAGGGCATACTCACACTACAGTGTAGCACTTTCCTAAATGTATCTGACATCAATTGCGGATTACCCTGGATGAATCTGACCGCGATCACGTCCAGAGCTTAAAAGAAAAAGGGTCCCTAGTGTGAGCAGCCCCTACCTGTGGCAAACCCCTCCCTTAATCCCAACCAGACATCGGAAATGAACCCCCCACCTTTTGGACGTAGGATATGAGGCTATTATGAGCCCCCACCCAAATCACCCACCAACCTCTACAAAAAGCACACAAAGCAGTAGACTCTGGTAGGTGCACTTTTTTTCTTTCTTCTTTTTTTGGTAGGTGCACAATTTGTCAAGTAAATCCCATCCCGTAATTTATTTATTTATTTATTTATTTATGTATTTATTTATTTATTTATTTATTTATGTTATTTATATTGATCCCACAATTTTGCGTTCAATCCCGCCACAAATTTTCGAATACAAGGCCCCATACACTCCCCCTTCCCAAAAAAAATGTTTGCCAGAAATGGAAAGTGCGAGTGAGCCTTACCACCCCTCCCCCCCCAAAAAAAGGAAACACAAAAAGGGAAG